ATATATATATATATATATATATATATATGAGTCCTCATTTGTCTTAGGTATATCTTTAGAAACACTCACTTGGCTCAATAATCTGTCACTCAGCTAAAAACTTAGGACACAAGCATTCTGTGGCTGTCTCACAAAAAAAAAAAAAAATTTCATTTGAATTATACTGTAGGTGGAAACAGTATTACTGGCTTAACCAAACCCTCAAATCATCACTCTAAATTTAGCTTCCATAAACTTTCACTGAATTTTACAATAGGATGCCAATCCAACTACGAATGACCTACAATCTAGCAGAAGACAACAGAACCATCCCTTGGGCTGAAATACAGCTCAAGCAGAGTGCTTGCTTTACATATGCCAAGTCAAGAGTTTGATCCCCAGCACTGCAAGAAGAAAATTAGTTAATATCACTAACAGTCCTGTGGGATGGTTACTCAAACAGCTTTTTCTTCTTTGTGCTGAATTCAGTGAAATCCTCTAAGTGGATATTTTTTTTTAATTTTGTACTAGAGTCTCAAATCAGGGTCTCATGCTTGCTAGGCAGACATTCTACCACCAGAGCCACACCCCTAGTCCTCAAAGTGAATCTTAAAGGATGAAAAATTAACTATGTTACCTGGGTATGGTGCCACCAGCCTATAATCCCAACATACTAGAGACTGAAATAGAATATCTAGAGTTTGAGGTCACTCTGCTGCACACAATGATTTCATGGTCAGCTTGTTCTATTTGTAAAACACTGTCAAACAAGGGGCCATGTGTCCATGGTTATAATCCTAGTTACTCAGGAGGCTGAGATCTTAGGACTATGGTATGAAGTCAACCCAGGCAGGAAGGTCCATGAGACTTTTATCCCTAATTAACCACTAGAAAAGGCCAGAAATGGAGCAGTGGCTAATTGGTAAAGTGCTAGCCTTGAGCAAAAGCTCAGGGATTGTACCAGGCCCTACACCAGAAAAAAAAAAAAAAATAGTGTAAAACTACTAAGATCAGTAGTAGTTTAGTAGAATACTGAACTATTTAGAGGAAAGCACATGGATTTCTGAACTTACTCTGAAATGCAAGAGTAAGACAGATTGGGATGGAGGTTGTGGCTCAAGTGGTAGCATGGCATGAGATCAAACCCTAATACAACTGAAAAACAAAAAACAAAAGTAAGACACATCAATAAGTAGATGGGACAAACTAATTATAATGTTAATAACAGAATATAGGTAACTGAGTACCTATAAACAAATTTAAAAAAAGAATTTAGATTTTGGTATATGCCAAAATTCTAAGAATATTCAAATTCTTGGAATAAAATGTTGAATAATGAATAATTATTCAAGAAGCTGTAGGATTAGCCAAGCCACAGATATCAAAACAGTTCCATGGTGGGAACAAAAGGCACATTCAGGAAGGTGACAGAAGATAATGGAGAAAAGCAGGGCACAAGCCCATGACAGACGTTGCATGCTAAGCTAAACCACAGAGTATCAGTAAAATACTTTGAATAGGAAGTGACAATGGTCAGAAGAGCATCTGGTTTCTCTTAGAATATTAAGGAAAAACCAAAGTCAGGAAGATATTTTTGGAGAAGTAAGAGGCTAAGCAAGATAATAGGGACAGAAAAATGGGGACGAAAAGCAAACTAACTACCTAATCTGGTAACTGCTCCAGTGCAGGAAAATGGAAAAGACTAGAACAATTTCCAGAAGTCTTAGCTTTGTAACTCAATAGAGAGATGGTACTATTCACTGACAGAGAATCCAGAAAGGAGTAGCAGGTTTTGATATATAGAAATTAATCATTTTGAACATAGAAATTTTTGAGAATCCAGAGGTAGTTATATATGTAGAGCAATCTACAATCTAGAATATGAGACACAGCAAAAGTCCTGGATTTACAGGACATCACCAAACAAGATGAGCTACAAATGCAATTGTGAGGAATTAAAGCCAGGCCATTCCCTGGCATATCTGAATTCCTACAAAATACTACTATTAAGCGTAATATTCTCCTAGGGAATCTAGTCCAAGCACCAAAGCTTTCTACACACTGTAGAAAATTAACAGGAGGGCTGGGAAGGTGGCTCAGTGGTAGAGCGCTTGCCTTGTATGCCTGAGGCCCTGGGTTCGATTCCTCAGCACCACATAAGCAATAAGCAAAAAGCCGGAGTGGCGCTGTGGCTCAAGTGGTAGAGCACTAGCCTTGAGCTGAAGAGCTGAGGGACAGCGCCCAGGCCCAGAGTTCAGGCCCCATGACCGGACCCAAAAAAAAAAAAAAAAAAGAAAGAAAGAAAAGAAAATTAACAGGAGAACAAAAAAAGAGTTCTCGGGACCTAATATTCTGAAGTTGGGCAGAAAAAGAAAAAAACAAGAATGGTAAAATATTTATTTGTTCTCAAAATTTTCTAAAACCTATACTTGTTTATATTCCTCTTTGGCTCTTAGAGTCTGCTTTAGTTAACTAACCTTTTAGTTAAACCTATACTTGTCTATATTCCTCTTTGGCACTTACAGTCTGATTTAGTTAACTAACCTTTTAGTTAAGCCTATACTTGTCTACATTCCTCTTTGGCTCTTAAAGTCTGCTTTAGTTAACTAACCTTTTAGTTAAATAACCTTTTCTCAATTTTCTTCTTGCTTTTCAAATCACCAAATACAAGGACCTCTAGGCAACTCTGAGAGAATTCTGAGGAATAGAATGAGAACTATGTGTAAATTGAAGGAAGCAGAAAGGATGTGAAAAGCAAGAGTCAGAATGTCACAGAGCCATTGTGTAACAGAAGCCACTGGATTAGATGTCTCAAAAAAAGAACCTAGAAAATAGACCACTTCAGAAGAAAACAGAAAGATAAAATCAATCAACCTAGAATTCAGAAATTAAGTAAGTGAAGGATCAAGGACTGATTAGAGTTAACTAAATCCTAATTTTTCACTTAAAACGCTTCTAAGTATATTTTCTTAATTTATTCCTCTGATAGAGTGTAAGCACTCTTCACTTAGGTTCTTAAATTTCTTTTTCTTTTTTCCTCACTCTATATTGAACAGCTTCTGAGATAATTCTTCAATCTGGCAATCAGGCTTTAAATTCTACCTCAAAACTTACTTTCCAGAACTACTTAAAGCATACCGAAGTACAATCGGGGCTAAATAAGTACACTTTCAACTCTTGGTTATCAAAATTTTAAGGGGCAACAGAAGTTTAGAATCTCCACAGAGATCTTACAAAACCATGTCCTGAACTAGATATGTTGCTCAATAGTAGAGCACTTGCCTGGCATGTACAAAACCCTGGATGGTCTGTCTCTATCTCCACAGGGGGAAAAAAAAAAAAAAAACGAAAAAGAGAAACTTCCTAGCCAGGCATTGAGTACCTGTGTACTATAATCCCAACACTTCAGAGGCAGTAAAATAGTGTATTCAAAGCTAGCCTGGATTATATAGCAAGTTCAAGACAAGCCTGAACTATATAGCAAGACCCTGCCTTAAATAAGCCAACACTGGTAGTTCACACCTATAATTCTAGCTACTCAGGAGGCTGAGAGCTGAGGATCATAGTTCAAAGCTAACCTGGGTAGAAAAGAGTTGGTGAGACTCATCTCCAATTAATCAGAAAAAAAGCTGGAAAAGAAACTATAACTCAAGTGGTAGAGTGTCAGCCTTGAGTGAAATGCTAAGTGACAGTGCTCAGGCCCTGAATTCACACCCCAGTACAGCTATTCATGGAACAGTCACAGAAAAGAATCCGATGTTACTAATCTGTGACCACTGTGTCCTCAACTGTCAGAGAAAGGCCAGGAAGTGAGAGGAATTAGTTCAGAAGGGAAAAATCAAAAAGTTAAGAGAAACTCACAAGGGGACTTTCTCCTCTGTAGTTAGACTAAATACCACCTTTCCTAGGACCACAACACCACTGTTCACACCAGGCTTCAGCGTACTCAACGACTGGAGCTCCAGTGCCACCTTCTGCCCAGTGGCTGACTGATAGCGTCCATCACCACAAGGGCCTAGGTGGGCTGGGTGCAAGTTTCCCAGCATGCTCTGCAGCTTTTTGGTCTTTATCTTTCCCTGCAAAGGAAACAGAAATAGGTAAAACACTTAAAACTAGGGTTCACCTAGGGAGTCCAGTCCTTCCCTCCTACCTAACCATTTCAGTGGTGTCATTCCCTACAAACAAAGCCTATTCTTTTGCCTTTAGTGCCAGCCTTGGGTTTTTAACTCAGAGCCTTGGATACTGTCCCTTGGCTTTTTCACTCAAGGATGTCACTGTATCACCTGAGCCACAGCTCCAGTTCTGGATTTTTTTCAAGTGTTGGAAATAAGAGTCTCACAGACTTTTTTTCCCTGGGCTGGCTTTGAACTATAAAGCTCAGATCTCAGCCTCGTGAGTATCTAGGCTTATAGGAATGAGCCACCAGCACCCAGCACCTGGCACATATTCTATTTTTTTTTTAACTGAATCACTTAAGAATGAAAGTAGGTTTCGGCCCTTTATACATCTTTACCTTGCTCTCCAGAAGGCTGGTTAATCTACTTAGGAATTCCAGGAGTTGTTGCTCACGTTGATGGGGCTCTGGCCAGCCAGGGTCCAGTGCTGCAGCCTGAGAGAAGCCCTCCAGTGCCTCCCCATAATTCTCTTCATATTTATGTAACTGCACAAAAGGAACCGAAAGCTCTCAATTATATCCAAACCACAATGGGCTCAAAATCTAGAGAAATCAAACTGCTTTCTTTCCCTGGTAGCTTCCTGCCCTACTATGAACATCCTTCATCCTGGCCAATGGATAACAGTGCCACAGAGAGAACAAAGAAGCTAATTTCTGATCTCTGAAATAAAAGATGCATATACTGAATCACTCAACTTTTATATTTATGCTTAACTTCAGAAGTTTTTTTGTTTTTTGTTTTTTTTTTGCCAGTCATGGGTCCTAAACTCTGGGCCTGAGCACTGTCCCTCAGCTCTTCAGCTCAAGGCTAGTGCTCTACCACTTGAGCCATAGTGCCACTTCCAGCTTTTTTTTTTCTGCTTATGTAGTGCTGAGGAATCGAACCCAGGGGCTCATGCATGCAAGGCAAGCACTCTACCACTGAGCTACCTTCCCAACCCAACTTCAGAAGTTTTTATGTGTATGTGTTTTTTTTTACTTTGTGTCAGTACTGAGGCTTAAACTCAGGGCCTCACATCGTTGCTTGACTTTTTCACTCAAGGCTATTGTTCTACCACTTGAGCCATAGTCTCAAGGACTTTCCTGCTCAAAATAGCTTTGAACCACAATATTAAGAACTCAGCCTTCTGAGTAGCTCACTCTTTATATTGCCACCAATGCCTGGAAATATCAGAAATTTTCTAAACAATCTTCCCACTCTTTTTAAAATTTTTTTAAATTATTATTATAATATACAAGAGGGGTCACAGTTATGTAAGTTAGGTACTTTTTTTTGACAATATCACCCCTTCCCTCGCTCTCTCCTAGTTTGTCCCTCACATTCCCACTTACAAGTTGTATGATTCATTTTCCAGTGAGGACCCCTGCTGTATTTGCTCACCCTTTTCCCCTCCATTTCTGTGCCTCCCCTTACACCCCCAAAGACATATAAACAAACGAACAATGAAAAGGAAATGAAACAAAAATAGCAAAAAAGGAAAAAACTTTTTTTTTCATTTCCTGGAGTTCCTTCCAATAAATATTATTCTGTATGATCAGATGCATGTAGGCATTGTGCCTTTCTGTTCCTCTCATCTTCCCATTCTTGATGTATTCCTTGGCCTCTATCTTTCCCCTCTAAGGATGCCACCAGACACTAGAGTCAAATTGAGCAAACCTTTCTTAAAAGGAATATGCATAATCAGTTACCCTTCCAAACTTTGAAGATTTAGATGTCTTCTTACCGTAGCCCTATTCAGATGAAGGTCAGGATTGCTGGAAGCTTTCTTGTCAACCTTCTCCTGTAACGGGATAAAAACATCATCAGTGGACCCACCTCAATCCTAAGAATAGCTGTGCCCAACATGTCCTAGGCCTCCTCATCTCAGAAAAATATGAGGTTGTTCCTTTTCAAAATGTTACGTATAGCCATGCACTGGTAGTTCACACCTGTAATAGTAGGTATTCAAGAAGCTGAATCTGAGGATCAAGATTTGAAGCCTGCTCAGGCAGACAAATCTTATCTCTAATTGATCAGCCAAAGCCAGAAGTGGAAGTGTGGCTTAAGGGACAGAGTGCAAGACTTGAGCAAAATAAGCTAAGTAAGAACACAAGGCCCTGAGTTTAAGCCAAAGTATTGGCATGAAGAAAAAAAAGAAGTTACCTAGAACCACAGTTATTCAAGAACTGCTCAGAAGGGGTATGACTCAGTCTCTGAAACCTCAGGGATGTAAAGGTGTTGCATTTGTGTAACTTTAAAATATGGCTATAACTACCCCTGCTTTCACTATATTTGATGTCAGTATAACTT